ACCCTGTCCCTGACAGACATACAAAGGTGGTTATAAGCAGGGGTAATTTCGTAGAAAAAGAGGTGCAGGAGCTCATTAGCATAACTCATTAGCACAACTCATTTGCATATGCCACATACCCTGACATCACCGGAAGTGTGTCAGAAGGCAACACCCACTGCTCAGGCTCCACTGGACTGTTTTGGATTGCTAGCTATTTGGGGGGGGGGGTGAACGTGCAGATCTGTCCTCACAGAGGAGGGAGAGCTTGTCCCTGACTAAAACTTGGTCTTAAAGGTGCCACTGGACTGTTTTGAACCGGGGGGGTGGTGGCTCTGCAACCTGGCTGCTTCTTGCTCTGACTGAGGGCTGCTGGGAGCAGGGGGTGGGGCTTGTTGCATGTGCCTGCCCCCTGGGCTCTTTACTGCCAGAGCTCCGCTCCTGTGCGCTCCTGCAGGAAATGACCCCGGGTTATAAGCATGGGGAATTGCCTCACAGAAAACACCATTGGGTGAATGGGCAAGGTGACTCCGGGAGCCCTCCCACTCTCATTCCAGAGAGATTACGTGCCATGTCTCTTCTCATTTTGTAAGGCCTAATCCAGGGCTGTCCTCTTTCGATGTTAGTTCTCAGCAGACCTGGACAGGTGAGGTCCCTAGATGGCAATGCTTGGCCTCAGGAAGCCAACGGCATGTATATTAACCCTTTTTAAAAAGATGGGAGGCCAAATTAGTTGGCATTGGGACTCCTGAATTATCTGTAACAGGTGAAGAGTTTGTTGGGAAGGATAAGCATGATTCCTGGATTCACTGAGAGGAAATGGAACTTCATCAGGAGGCAAACCTGTAGGTTCACAAAGAAGAATCAGTGGGATACAAAAAGATTCCTCTACCATGGAGGAAGCATGGAATCTTTGGGGTATCTACAAGAGATCAGGGGCTAGTGGGGGTAGGGGAGGGACTGGAATTCAGCGCTCCTGGACTTTTTGGAGAACCTACTATTTACAAATAACAATAAAACCAAGGGAGCCAAGTTTTATGATGGAAAACTTCCCCCCCCCTCTTAGAGGATGGGCCTCTTCACAGGAGCACACCATTTTACAGCCGTTTTGTTTTGCATGCCAGTCAGATCTCTCCTCTCACAAATCTCTCAGCAAAGATTTTAAAATAATTGACACATAAATCAGAATAAATGACACATCAGGGTGATGGGGTATTAGCTAGCAAACCACCCGACATGTGTTTTGTCAGCTGAGTAATTTGGCTTTGGCTTGATTGGTTCAAATTGTTGAAGAGGGGCTAATATGCATACCAGCATCAATTCCTGAGCATGGAAAAACCCTCACGTCCGTTGTTTCACGTCTGTCACCCTTACTGTTTAGCCATTTCTTCCAATTGACTGTAATATTTCCTTACTTGAAAATTGCTTCTTAATTTTTTTTTCCCAATTAAAAAAATCGCATTATCTTCCCCTGGTTTTGAAGGAGAAGATGCTTCCTGATTAGATTCAAATTCAAATCTCTCTGATTAGAATTAGATTGAAATGTTAGATAATGACATTTCACTCCATACTTCTGGTGTCTTGGTGTTCCTTGACTCTGCTGCTTGGTTTCCCCCCCCACACAACCTCTTACATAAAATGAATCACAAATGAGGATGTATTTATAGCATCTGAAAAAAATGGGGCTTTAGTCCACCAAAGCTTATGCTGGAATTAAAATTTTGTCAGTCTTTAAAGTGCCACGGGACTCCTGTTAACTTTTGCCTTCTCGGCTAGCATCGTTCCAATTTGCAAAAATTAAATTAACTTCTGAGACCTATGGCCCTTTTGGCTGGCTCAACGGGGCCTCCAAAATCTCTGCTTACACCAAGGGGCTCAAATGGTTAAGAGGGAAAGCGCAGGGTGGGGGGTGGGAGGGCCATTGGGCGGGGGCTCACATTCCCAGAGGGCCTCACCGGAACTCCTAGGCCCTGGCAGCTGCCCCACCTGAAGGTATGCTGAAGCCGGCCCTGAGCGCAAGAGCTGGGGCAAGGTCCTGTGAACACAGGAAGCTGCCTTCTACTGAATCAGACCATTGGTCCATCAAAGTCAGTGCTGTCTATTCTATTCAGACTGACAGCGGCCCTCCAGGGTCTCTGGGGGAGGTCTTTCCCGTCACCTACAAGGGTTGCCAAATCTACTTACCCCGGGGGGAAACCATATGGTTCCCACCCCGACGAGCTGGGCCACGCCCCCAACGTGAGCAACGTGGCTGCGTCACCTCTGGTGACGCAGCTTTGGGGGCAGAGTTCCCCCTGGGGCCCGTTTTCGCCGCCGTGGAAATCGGGCCTCCAAAGTGGGGGATTCCCCGCCCCCCGGGCCCGTTTGGCAACCCTAGCAGATACTGGGGCTGAGACCTTCTTCTATATGTCAAGCGAATGCCCTGCTACTGAGCCACACAGCCCCTCCCTTGGACAAGGCCTAAGCCTCAAATTAGGACATGGGGACCCCCAATGCCTGTTGCTTTCCTGTTTGGAGAAAGAATTTGACTCTGGGGAAAGGAACGGCATGGGCAGAGTTGGTTTCTTGAGCTACACCGGGCTGTCACTTTGGCCTGTAGTTCTTTCCCCACAATGCTGGGGCCGGGTGTGAGTTGCAAACACAACGGGATCACAAGTTTCCAAGCATCTGCTTTGAAACTGCCTTTCCACCACCACCACCACCATCAGCTATTCTCTGGGTGGTTGCCATCCAGCATCTATTGTGCCTGATATTTCTCTTTCCCACTCCACCTTTACTCTGTGATTACTGCTTACTCAGTGCCACACACATAGTGCCCATGAAGTGCACTTTCAGATCATTTGCATGACAAAGGATAACAGGGGCAGTGAAGGGGCAGGGCTACGGTCCACTTACTGTGATTCTAAACCATGACAAGACAAGAGCGATATGGACTCACTTAAGCACTGGAGCAGTGAGACCGTTCATTATATGGGCTTAGACATTAACGAAGGTGCTTTTTTGACACTGCGCTTCTGGTACCGTAACATTCCGTCTAACAAAAGACTCTGGTTCGTAAGGTTTTCTCCTCATGTGGCATCTGGGTATCTCACATTCCCATGAAGTAACCTAGACCTCCACATACACGTCTCTTCCCCTCCCCAGGACCTCCCTTCCTTATCTGGAAATTTCCCCAAGATACAGGAACTCCCTCTGCTGCACCTCCTATCGACCAGGAAGCTCACCTACAGTCTCTTCCCCTTCTCAAGCCCTATATGGGCTTAACCATGAACGAAGGTGCTTTTTTGACACTGCGCTTCTGGTACCGTAACATTCCGTCTAACAAAAGACTCTGGTTCGTAAGGTTTTCTCCTCATGTGGCATCTGGATATCTCACATTCCCATGAAGTAACCTAGACCTCCCCATACACGTCTCTTCCCCTCCCCAGGACCTCCCTTCCTTATCTGGAAATTTCCCCAAGATACAGGAACTCCCTCTGCTGCACCTCCTATCGATCAGGAAGCTGACCTACAGTCTCTTCCCCTTCTCAAGCCCAGCTCAAATTAATCATTCATATCGTATTTATTTCCAAGACTGAGATCTGGAACCAGAATCCATCACCACATTGGGTTCAGGATCTAGCTCTTGCGGCGTTCTGTTCGGCCGTGTGGGTTTTGCGCTGCCCTGCTGTGCTCCGGCCTGCCTTCTGCAGAAGATTCCATGTGCTTTCTTTGCTTGACACCCTGCTTCTGGCGGGGGAGCCTTGCCGGGCTCTGGGAGCTGTTGCTTGATGTGTGCGTGCGCGAACTGCGTGCGCCGCCAGTACGCCACCAGAAGTGACGCGCGACGCCTGCAGGGTCATTGGAGATCTCATTGGCCTGGCAGAGTTTCTAAAAGTTACTTCAGTAACAACTGCCCCCACAGCACAAGGATATTCACACAAGAAAATATTTTTATATGTTTATTTAAGAAGTCATTCTGCTGGGCAGAGCTTCTGCCTGAAATGTTGAAGAGTTACTACTGGAATGACGCATAACTTCGCTCCAGACGTTTTGTGGTTGGCTCTGCCTCCCGTGGCAGCCATTTTGTTGTTGTGCCCACAACCCTTTGTCAGAATTGCAATAGAGCCCGCAGGCTTGAAAAGGTTGGGGATCCCTGGCCTAGACCCTTGGAAGTCACCCAGGACAACTCCTCCCCTTGGATCCTACCGATCTGAAACAGGGAATCTCCAGCTCGTGGCTCATAATCTTAACCATTGCCCTGGCTCCCTGGACCAGACAATATCAATGTCCTGTTCATGCTTTTTGACCCCCAAAGTAATGTCCACAGTAGTGGGAGCTGTCATGACACCCAAGTCCCGTGTTGGGGAACATCATTGTGAGCAATGAATCAAAAGCATAGCATTTTAAAATTTGCTTTTTATTATTTGACACCCAATTGCCAGCAAAGCTCTTTATTTGACTGGAGAGTAAGTGCTGAAGGAGTAGGCCCGGATTTAGGAAGACGGTCTTTCAGCTGGCTAGACTGACTAAGAAAAGACCTGACAGGAAATATGTTGGGAGGATAAACATTGGGAGGATAAGAGTCCTCTGGCAGCTTAAAGACGAACAAAATTTGTGGTAGGTCATGAGCTTTTGTAAGTCACTGCTCACGTCTTCAGATACTTCAGATAGGTGACTCACGAGAGCTCCTACCCTACCACAATTTTGTTAGTCTGTAAGGTGCTACTGGACTCATACCCTTTCTACTGCTATAGACTAACATGGCTACCCATCTTCATTGGAAGTATGATTGAGAGGAAAGAGATGTGTATATGCAGATGGAAGAGGAGAGGAGAGATAGATAGCTGGAAGAAATACTGGGAATAGTTAAATTGGTGAAAATGGAAATAGCCAGGAGAAAAATTCTTGAATATCAAGGTTACTAAAAGAACTAACTTAGACATAAATGAAGAGGCGATAAGCTGCAAACAGATGGATGAAATGACAGATCCCCCCCTGACCATTTCCCTATCCATCAAACAGTTTGATTCTCATTGTACTCATGCCTGATTTCCTGTAGAGCGTTTGACATTCCAATGGAAACTGATGGCATACACATAGGAAGAATCAGCGCGGCCACTTATGTAACTCAGGACAGCATTTGGGAAGAGTGCAATTCCACTAAAAGCAGTGCCTGTATTAGTCCCAAAAGAAAAGTGGCGCCCAAGGCTGGTATGGAATTCAAGCTTGCGGAGATAAGAGTCAGCCATCCCAGAGACCAGGGTAATGTCCTCTCCCCGGTGGAGTACGACTTGATGCAGTTCTCCTGATGGGCCACCTGCGTAATCACTCCAGTCTCTCCCATAACGGACCTGGAGACTAGAAGAAGGGAAGAGTTAAGGGTAGTCTTCAGGTCTCTCCTGTAGCCTTTCCCCTGCCGCTGTCCAACACTTGTTATAGCCACACTCGTTGATTTAAATGGGATCAGAGTTGTGAATTGGATGGAAGCCTGTCCACAGATCAGTCTGAATGTATCAAGAAGAAGTTAGTTAGCTGCCCTTTGGAGCTTTTCCTTGTGATCTTCAGTTGCACCTCATTTGTTCCTCATTTCTCACACACAACCGCCCATGCCTTTTCTCTCAAGGGGGTGCTTCTTGCTACAAGGGTTTTCAGCAGATGTCATTTCGGGGGGGATCGCGGGGGATCGCAGTTCCCCCGGGTGAGGTACGGGGGGCGGGGCACATGACAAAGCCCCGCCCCCTGCTTCCGGCCGCCCCACTTCCGGCCCTCATTCAGCCAGAAGGAGGCAGGAGAAGAGGGAGGGTAAGTT